ATAAGAAAACTCTGCACTTCAGCCACTTAGTTCAAATTCTTAGTTTTTCAGATTTTCCACTGGAAAACCACCTGAGGAAAGGGGAGGACAGAGCCTGGCCTGGGTTTGTCCAACCCTGCCAGGGGATCCCACATCCCCCGAGAGGAGCTGCTGCCTATCTCCACAACATGCTGTCACCTCTGGGGTCACTTGCTTGTCTAAAGCTAATATATCATTACCACCAGCAATCCCCAGGCCTCTCCCTTGCTTTCAGGCATGTTTTTGCTCTGCCCGTGCAGGTGGAGGGCGAAGGGGAGAGCTGGCAGCCCTGGGGAGATGCTCTGCCCTCACCCAAGCTGGTTGGTCCAGGGCCAGGGGCTCCTCCACCCTCAAGCTGCTGGTGCATCTGAGGGGCTCCTCCTCTGAGGGCAGCAGGGCCACGGGGCCTAGGAGGGAATTAGCCTTCCCTTGGGTAAAACATACTGTGAAATTAAGACAGGAAGAGATGTGTCATGCTTGGAACACGAGAGAGCAATCACTGAGCCCACAGCCAGAGATGATTTGTGCAACCTCATCAAAGGTGGCTGGAGAAAAACCCAAAGTCTCCACACACATCTGTGTCTAAGGTGTCTCTCCAGAGCACAATGATGCTGCACGTGGCACACGTCGAGGTGAGCAGAGCACGCTCTGTAGGGCAGAGAAGTTACCTGGTGCTGACAACTCGCCGCACGGCCCCGCAGAGTCGCCAGCAGCCGGGTGGGTGGTAGCTGTGGCAGTGCCCATGATGTGCCACGTCCCACGGCCACTCAAGCCCACTGCTGCCTGGCACTGCCCAGCCTGGCTGCGTGCACCAGCAGAGCCAGTGACCACGGGCCTGCCAAATACAAACACTAATAAATTCATCTCAGGTGAATTAAAATGTTTCATTTAGATTTTGACCTTTCAAAAGAAAATGAATAATGCATTTCAAAATAAAAACTCATTTCAGACTTGAGACTCAAAACACTGCCAGCTGGAAATGCCAGGGCCAGGCGTTACGGCACCGGGATTTTCTGACTCCACGGGTGGAGAGCCTGCAGGGAGCGGCACCTTTCCCAGCGAGAGCAGATCCATCCCCCAGCCCCAGCAGCTCACAGCAGGGACGTGGCTCAGAGGGCACCCAGGCTCTGAAGGGCTGTGGCTGCACAATCACAGCCATGTGCCAAGGGAAGCTTTTTTTTTTTTTAATTTCAGTATAATTTTTTTTGAGGCTTGTTCTCACAGATTTCCCTGGGTGTTAAAGTTGGCAGACTGCTCCCTTAAATCTCGGTGCCAACAGCTGCCCCCAGAAGCAGATGCCCTGGACTGTTAGGTTTTCTCTGCCCTCCTCCAGCCCCATGGGGCTCCTCATGGAATTCCTGGGAGTTGTGGAGCAGTGGCTTTTCCTGGGGATGCTGCGGCAAGGCACAGCCTGGGCCTGCTGGTCACCCCAGCAGAAAAACCCCCCGGCCACACTTCCCCCACCGAGCAGAGCCGCCCACCAACAAATTCATAGTGTAACTCTCCACCCATGTGCTGGTGGTTAGCTGATAATGAAATTATGTTCTGTGAGATAATTGTCCAGAGGAGCACCAGGCAGCACAGAGGCTGGTATGGTTGGCACAGGGTTTTCACCAGCCTTGAGGCTGGGTGATGGGCTGGTCCTGCCCACGCAGCCCTGCAATCCAAGTGCTCTGCCAAGGGCTGCGTCAGGAGCCTTCCTCCAGCCTGCAATTAAGCACTGCAAAAGTTAATCAGCTGCAGCAACAGCCAGAGAGTCAGATCCACCTCCCCCAGCTGCGATCGTCCCCACCACGGGAAGAGAAGGTTCCTGTGGCTTTGGCAAA